CTTGATCAAAGTGTGCACTTTCTCGTTCACACTTTGATCTGGGACATTACAATGCACAATGACAATTTCAACTTTAGCATTAAAGGGTAAATATTGATATTGATGAAACTTAGATAAAGCTAAATCATAAATCCCAACTTTAAACACTTAGCCCATTATACGTTAGAAATAAAATATGAAAATACAGATGAAATCCATTACAAAATGAGGGAAATAATGAAAATATACAAAATAGTAGAAGAAACCGGTCCTTGAAGAAATGAATGGTTGAAATCTTGAATCTTCCTTTGAAGTCCTAAATTTTGCTTTGTATTTCCTCCTTTTCTCCCACTATTTTCTCAAGCTTAGGGTTTAAGCATGTAGAAAGAGATGATAGATGGAGTGCCCTTAAAATGGTTGAAATAGGCATTTAAAAAGGCCAAAAACTTCACCCCACTTAATAGATGGAGTGCCCTTAAAATGGTTGAAATAGGCATTTAAAAAGGCCAAAAACTTCACCCCACTTAATTGCAAAATGGCCCATCGATTTTAAAAACCAAATAGCCTAGCAGCCGAGGTACCTAGGCTGCACATATGGCATAGCCATGGTGCCGGTGAGTGGTGCCCCCTTTTCTTCCTTTTTCTAGCTTCGATCCTCTAGTAATTACATATCCAGTCCCTCAACTTTTATCGTATACATTTTGGTCCTCAAACTTTTTAATTTCTTTCAATCACGTCCTCCAAAGTTCAATCCAAGGTCCCTAAGCTTTCAGTACTTGTACATTTTGGTCCTCCAAATCATTTTGATGCACTTTCGGTCCTTTTTTCTTCCTTTAGCTTTCTTCTCCTCCAATTTAGGATTTTAGCCTACATGGCAACAATTACACAATTATGAATATGAATTCGCTCATTTTCATCAACAATTAGCTTGTTAAAGTACCTAATAAGTGTGTAAAAACACACTTATTAATTCTATACACCACCCAAAACTAAAGCTAAAACATGAAAATAGAGCCCAATAGAATCCTATCCTCGTAAATGGACACTGAATGCTACAGAAGTTCCTGCTAGCATTGTGGCACAAGCTAAACTTTCTCTTCTAAAAAGCCACCATTTGCTTTTACAACCATGACTTGTCTTGTAAGTGACAATTCACACTTTACAGGTAGGCATTAGGGAAAGTTCAATAAAACTTACAAGTCCATGGTCAAAAAGTATTAGAAGTCAGCAAGATAGGATACCACAGTCATGATATTACAAATTATGCATCACATTCTTTACAAAATAAGTACTGTTGGATCTCACCTGGTATCGACCGTACAATCTAGAAAATAGATAAGCTGCAGAATATCACATAAAGAAAGTATTTTCAGAATTGAGCATGTAATGACTCCACTGAAAAATGTTTATTGCGTAGTTAGTAAAGAACTGGCAAAAACAAAATCTTCTATCGTCGTGTGTTTAAGCAAAATGGCTATAGACCCTTCAATTATGCAATGAAACTTGGCTAAGATTTCAACATTGTAAACAACCATTGCTTTCATGCAATCTTAGAACTTTGTCCAATTATAGAACTTGAGGACTGATGAAGAAGAAGTTTGACTTCCTATTGCTTGAGACTTGTCAAAATTAAGAGGTCATTGTTAATATGTGAATATGCTTTAGCTATGATCTTTTTTTTGAAGACGGTTCTATTACTAGCATGTTTACTTCCATTGTAGGTAACGTATTTGGGTTCAAAGCCCTGCGTGTAAATCTGATCATGCTTTATCTTGTGGCTGCTGGGACAAAAGAAATTAGAAACATTTTCTTTTCTGCCTTGGACGAGATAAAAGACATCAAATCTAATATCTGAGAGGAGAGGTCTTTGGGAGCAGCTAAAGGAAGAGTCTAAACGCATCCAGGGACCAGCGGGTACTTAAATTGGACCTTAGGACAAAAGAAATTAGAAACATTTTCTTTTCTGCCTTGGACGAGATAAAAGATCTAAAATCTAATATCTGAGAGGAGATGTCTTTGGAAGCAGCTCAAGTGTCTAAATGGCGTAATAAATAGGGTTAATGGTGACTCTATCGTGGGAAGAGTCACTTCCTTCTTGCTCGATAGGGGATTGCCACAATTACTCAGAAGAAAAGAGGATAAAAATTGCAGTCCTTGAATTTACCGACTATACTATTACTTGGTGGGATCAAATAGTGACTTCAATAAGGCAGAATGGAGAGCGGCCTGTTAATACTTGGGGGGAGAATTGAAAACAATCATAAGGAAGACGTTTGTGCCTAGTCATTACTATAGGGAGATTCATCAAAGGTTGAAAGGCCTCTACTAATGGTCTCGGAGCATAGAGGACCATCACAAGGACATGAAAATATTGATGATTAGGGCGAATATTGAAGAATATGGGGAGGCCACCATGGCTCAATTTTTGAATTATTTGAATAGAGAAATAGCGAATGTAGTGGAATTACAACATTATGTGGAGATGGATGACCTACTACATATGTCTATGAAGGTGGAGAAACAATTGAAGAGGAAGGGGACAACTAGGTATTCATCGGGGTCTTCGGGTTCTAATCCTTCATGGAAATCGAGGTGGGATAACGAGGGTGATGTGGCTGTTTTAAAAGGGAGATCTAAATTTCCAAAGTGGAAAGAAAAGAATGCTAACAAAGTTCTAACCAAGGCGGAATCCCAACCATCAAGAAATCGAGACATCAAATGCTTTAGGTGTTTGGGGTCGAGGCATATCGCTTCTCAATGTCCAAACAAAAGAATGATGATTTTGCGGGATAATAGAGATGTGGTGAGTGAAGTGATAGTGATTATAAAGGCATGCCAGAATTGGAAGAAATTAGCGATGAAGCAAAGACGGAGTATGCCATGGGTGAGTTATTGGTCACGAGGCGAGCTCTTAGTGCTCAAATCAAGGCGAATGACTTGGAGCAGCAACGTGAGAACATATTTCACATAAGGTGCTGCGTTAACAATACAGAATGTAGTGTTATTATTGATGGGGGAAATTGCACTGATGTAGCTAGCACTACACTTGTAGAGAAGTTAGGGCTTACCTTGTTAAAACACTTAAACTATATAGATTGCAAATGGTTGAATGATAGTAGTGATATTAAAGTGAATCAAAGGGTCTTGATTAATCTTTCTATTGGGCGGTACCAAGATGAAGTTATGTGCGATGTAGTTCCAATGTATGCTGGACATATATTGTTGGGGAGACCATGGCAATATGATAGGAAAGTGATGGATGATGGGTACAAAAATATGAACAACTTTATGAAGGATGGGAAATCAATTACTCTTGCACCATTGACACCACAACAAATGTTTGAAGATCAAATTAAGTTGAAAGGTAAGGAGGAGATGAGAGTGAAAGAAAAGAAGATTAAGAGAGAAAATTGTGAGGTGGCTAATAGAGAGGGAAAAGAATTGAGCCACAAGAGCGAAAAGAAAAAGAAGACGAGACAAAAGACAAAAAGAGTGAGAGAAAAGAAAAAGAGAGGAGAGAAATAAAGAAAACTTTTTTCCAAAGGGCAGTGAGTTGGAAAGATCAATAGTCGATAGGCAACAAATGATTCTTTTGGTATGCAAAGAATCACTTATCAACTGTGAGGTGCCTGACATATCCCTCCCTAGTTTGGTTACTTCTTTATTGCAGGAATTTCAAAATGTATTCCCGGAGCGCCTAGTGGGTTACCACTCATTCGAGGTATCGAATATCAAATTGATTTTGTAACTGGAGCTATCATTCCAAACTAGGGGTGGGCACTGGTCGATTCGGTTTGGTTCGATTCGGTTCGGTTCGATTTTGTTCGGTTCCAGAAATTTTCGGATATTTAGTAAATGGAACCGTCAGTTCCAAATATAATTTTGGAACCGTTCGGGGTTTGGTTCAGTTCTGTTCCGTACTATAATTAAATTTTTTTAACATTTAGAATAATACTATATAAATATACCTGAAAATAGATACTAATATTAATAACAAAAAGTAGATACAAATACCAAGTTCAATCTTTACTTTTACAAATTAACATAATTTAATTTAATAACATATAAATAGTTAGTTGTCAAATACAAATACCAAAAAGTTAATATTATTAGTAAAACTTCAATGATTCATGTCAATAATTCACTTGTTTCGAACCTTCAAGTCTACATAAAAATGAAACATAAATTAGAAGTCATAAAGATAAAATATTTTAAACTATTGATAATACTTACCAACTATTTAATGTAATCATCAATTGCTTGACTTTCCATACTAACTACTAAGAGACTATACAAGAAAAAATTGAAAAAAACACAACTAACAAACATAAATAAACTCTAAATTGTTCAACTAATAAGATTTAATAAGAAAAAAATTATCAATTTATTTAGAAAAACTAATAAGAAACTATATAAGAAAAATTTTAAAAAATTGTTCAACTAATAAGATTTAATAAGAAAAAAATTATTAATTTGTTTAGAAAAAAATATAAAAAATTGATTTATTCAATATTTAAAAAAATCGATTTTTCGGTTTTTAGTCTAGAACCCAACCAAACCACTTGGTTCTCGATTCAGATACTCGTTCCGGTATTTCATTTAAGAAAAATCGCTCGATTCGATTCGGTTCTGACATTTTGCCCATCCCTATTCCAAACTGACCAGGGTACCTAGTAATCCCGAGGAAACTAAGAAGCTACAAATGCAGGTTGATAAGTTGTTAAGCAAGGGGTATGTGCGAGAAAGTATAAGTCCATGTGTCGTACAGTACTACTTGTACCAAAGAAAGATGGAACCTAGAGGATGTGCGTGGATTGCAGGGCCATCAACAACATTCCGATAAAGTATCTTCATCATATCCCTAGATTAGATGATATGTTAGATGAATTACATGATGTATGCATATTTAGGAAAATTGATCTTAAAAGTGATTACCATCAAATTAGGATACGAGAAGAGGATGAGTGGAAAATTGCTTTTAAAACCAAATATGGGCTATATGAATGATTGGTTTTGCCATTTGAACTTACTAATGCACCTAACACNCTTACTAATGCACCTAGCACTTTCATACGATTAATGAATTATGTTTTGCGTGCATTCATGGTAAATTCGTGGTAGTATACTTCGATGACAGCTTGATTTATAGTAAGGACTTGAATGAGTATATAGAACATCTAAAGTGTGTACTTGTGGTTCTAAAAAAGAACAAATTTATGCTAATTTTAAGAAGTGTACATTTTGCATGGAAAAAATTATATTACTTGGATATGTTGTTCATGCTAAGGCAATAGAAGTGGATAAAGATAAAATAAAAGAAATTGAAGAATGACGGACACCTAAAAACGTAACTGAGGTTAGGAGTTTCCATGGTTTGGCTAATTTTTATGGACAATTTATTAAAACCTTTAGCACACTTGCCACACCGCCTATGGAAATTGTTAAAAAGAGTGTAGAATTTAAATGGAGTGACAAGATCTTACATTTAAAGCTATTAAAGATAAATTGTGTAAAACGCCGATTTTAGCGCTACCTAATTTTGATAAAACTTTTGTGATTGAATGTAATACGTCGGGAATAGATATTGGTGCTATTTTGATGAAGGATGTAAGACCAATTGTATACTTCAGTGAGAAACTAAGTTGGGCAGTACTTAATTATCCTATATATGGACAAGGAGTTGTATGCGCTTATTCGAGTTTTAGAGACTTGACAGCATTATCTATGACCAAAGGAGTTTGTGATCCATACTGACCATGAGTCCTTGAAGCATTTGAGGGGCCAAGGGAAGCTAAACAAGAGACATACACGCTGGATGGAATTCATTGAGACATTCCTGTATGTCATCCGGTACAAACAAGGTAAAGAAAATGTAGTAGCAGACTCGTTGTCTCGGTGGTATGTGCTTCTTACTTCTTTGAGTGCGAAATTGCTTAGATTTCAATAAGTTAAGGACATGTATGGGAATGATTCAGATTTCTCTAATATATATGAGTCATGTAGTAAAGGGGCTATTGATAAGTTCTTTAGGCATGATGATTATCTATTTCAAGAAAATAGGTTATGTGTTCCTAAATGTTCAATGAGGGAGTTGTTGGTAAGAGAATCACATAGTGGGGGTTTGATGGGTCATTTTGGGATTAAAAAGACTTTAAAGATGTTAGAAGAACAATTTTATTGGCCAAAGATGAAAAGTGATATTGAACGTGTTTGTAGCAAAAAGGTTAAATAAAAAGCTTTACCACAAGAATTATAAACACCATTACATGTACCTAGTTAACATTGGGATGAAATTTCTATGATCTTTGTTTTGGATTTACCTAGGACTAAGAAAGGACGGGATTCGATATTTGTCGTGGTAGATAAATTTAGTAAGACTGATGATGCTACGAACATTTCAGATTTGTTCTTTAAGGAAATAGTACATTTGCATGGGGTTACTAAGAGTATTGTGTCAGATCGGGACATTAAATTCTTTAGTCATATTTGGCGGATTTTGTGGAATAAGTTAGGAACTAAACTATTATTTTCTACAATTTGTCACCCACAGATCGATGGACAGACTGAAGTAGTTAATATGACTATGATCCAATTGCTACGCACTGTAATTAATAAGAACTTAAAGAGTTGGGAAGAATGTTTACCTTTCATTGAGTTTCATATAATATGGTCATACATTCTACTCCTTCGTTTTCACCATTTGAAATTGTTAATAGTTATAACCCACTAACACCATTGGATTTGATTCACTTGCATGTTAATGAATGTGGTAGTCTAGGTGGAAAGAAGAAAACAATATTGGTCAAAGCATTTCATGAAAAGGTAAAATTACGAATCGAGTAGAAAAATAAGCACTATGCTTCACAAGCAAACAAAGGGCGGAAGATCATTACATTTGAACCTGGTGATTGGGTTTGGCTACATTTGAGAAAAGAACGCTTTCCAGAACAACGAAAGTCAAATTTGTAGCCATGAGGAGATGGTCATCTTCAAGTCATTGAAAGGATCGACGATAATGCTTACAAGTTGGATCTTCCTAATGAGTATAATGTATCAGCTACTTTTAATGTAATTGATCTCTCTCTTTTTTCTACAGGTTCAGATTCGAGGACGAATCCTTCTGAAGAGGGATGGGATGATGTGATCCAATGTACGGATGCAACGAGGGTGAGCTCGGAGAAGGATCTGTTGATCATCGAAGGAGGGCCGATGACTCGATCAAGGGCAAAGCGGGTCAAGGAAGCGATGTGGTTGCTGGCTCAAGCTACGGTGGACGAGGCATTAATGGGGCAAGCCAAACGTCGAGTTCCATATTGGGCTCGGGGGCGGAAGTCCAATGGATCACGTTGATCGAGGCGGGAAACAAGGAGGTTGAAATTCATAACTATGCGAGAAAATTTCTTTTTTACGAATTTTTCTTATTTTACTAGAATCGCAAGGCATGGATTCGAGGACGATCCTTTCGAAGAGAGATGAGATGATATGATTCGGGACACGAAATACATAAAAGATATGGGTTTCCTTTTTGGCGGGTTTTCTTATTTCATTAAAATTCTATTTTTTATTGCAATCTTTTGTATAGCAAGTTATTTACGGTCCAATTAGGGTTTTAGGGTTTTCCTATAAATATTGACGTTATATTCATTGTATGGACAACGTACATTATTATTATTATTATTAAGAATTAATCGTGACACTTTTTTAGCTTTCAAATCCATTGTTCTTCATTGAGCAATTACGAACTTATCATGAATTGATTTCTTGTGGCGTTCAAACACTCGGGCTAGATTCATAATTCGTGTAATCAAGATGTCAATATATTGTAGGTGATTGTGTTGGTTGTTTGGTTCATTAATTTTGGATCGAGTCCAAAACCTCAATTTATTGACTTTCTTGGGTTAATTTTAATCTCGTTGTGGGTTACGTAGCTATTATTACTACGTGGTTCTCATCAGTTTATGCCAAAAAAATACATATATGTATATATAGGCCCTGTTTGTTTCTGATTCTCAAATCAATTCTCAAATCAATTCTCATTTTCAACCACACATTCTTCAATAAAATAATATTTTTCATCACATCAATACTTTTTTCTTCTTTTTCAACCACACATTTCCTATCATATCACTATTCAAAATCAATTCTTTCCCCAAAAATCCCTACCAAATAGGCTCATATACACACACACAAAAGGAGATGAGTAATTATTTAACAAGAATTGATTTTTTATAATCCATTTCAAATTTATTATTGAAAAACTCACTTCGTTGGATAGTAATCGAGGTATGGTATTACTCGGAATCTTATAAACAAATATAAATATCTATACCAAAGTAGATGATTGACTATTGAACAATCGCGCAAAATAAATTGATAAAAATGATTCATATTTCTCA